ACATGAATAACAATGACCTGACCCTGGCCGAGGCTCTTAGGAGCTGGAAAGGGTGTACTAATTTGAAGGGTAAGTAATGCTGACCAAGAGCGGGCCCCAGGGAGTCCTGTGCTTGAATGAGGCTGCTGCACATAAATAGGCAGACTGTGTACAGGGGCACCAAACACACACAATGACGACGCCAGGGATGCAGGATCCAGCCCAGCACAGAACCTCGGCATAGGATTTTACCTGGGTTGGTGCTATCCTGCTCCACAGCCTCCCTTTCTTGTTTTTCGGGGAGCACTTCCCTTCAAATCATTCCTAGTAATGAACCATGTCAAAGCTCCTTAAAACTGAGAAAAGTGATACTTTTCGCCAATTCCATACATACCTCTCTGATAAACCTCACCACAGTCTTATGAAGTTGGGTTATCATGCTCTTTTTGCAACATGAGATTGGACTTAATGATTCTACTAAAGGCTGTAGAAGAAACTGCTTACAGACTCCTCACTTCCCTGTAAAAAAAATCTTTAGCCCACTATCCATTTTTGTTTCATAGTAAAATTGAGTTCCATAGAACTCATGGTAACAGCATTTCAAAGATTTAGCTTAAAAAATGCCAATCTTTATAATTAACAGAGTTTTAGAAAGATAGGGCCACATTCCCTTTCTCCTACACATGTGGAGTGATAGACAGTACTCTGCATTATAAAACTAGGCCAAATAATCTAGTCAGGCAGGTATTAAGATCTTTCTCATGAGTACCAATTTGCTTCTCTTGTGTGAAATAAAGAATTGTATGAATGTTTGTAGCTGGTACCAATTCATTTTGCTTTCTGTTTAAAAAATGTTGCCCCAGCTGGGTGCAGTGGCTCACACCTGTAATCCTAGCTCTCTGGGAGGCTGAGGTGGGTGGATCGCTCAAGGTCAGGAGTTCGAAACCAGCCTGAGCAAGAGCGAGACCATGTCTCTACTATAAATAGAAACAAATTAATTGGCCAATTAAAAATATATAGATAAAAATTAGCCGGGCAAGGTGGTGCGTGCCTGTAGTCCCAGCTATTTGGGAGGCTGAGGCAGGATTGCTTGAGCCCAGGAGTTTGAGGTTGCTGTGAGCTAAGCTGACGATAGGGCACTCTAGCTCAGGCAACAGAGTGAGACTCTGTCTCAAAAAAAATAAAAATAAAAAAAGTAAAAAATGTTGCCCTTGCAGGTGTTATCGTTGCCATGCCTTGTAAAAATTACCTTAAGAAAAACTGTCATTCTGTTTGGCTGCTGCTATGGATTCAATTGTGTTCCTCCAAAAAATGTTGAAGTCCTAATCCCCCACTATCTGTGAATGTGACTTTATTTGGAAACAGGGTTTTAGCAGATGATCAAGTTAAGATTAGGGCATTAGGGTGGGCCCTAATACAATTGATGTCCTAAGAAAGAAGGTGATATTTGCGCACAAAGACAGACATATCCCAAGGGAAGATGATGTGAAGACATAGGGAAAATATCATTTACAAGCCAAGGAACATCTGAGACTATCAGAAGCTAGGTGAGAGGCAGGGAACAGACTCTCCCTCAGGGCTCTAAGAAGGAAAACCTATACATTGATCTCAGACTTTAGCCTCTAGAGCAGTGAGGTAACACATTTTTGTTGTTTAAGCCCCTCAGTTTGTGGTACTTTGTTATGGCAGCACAGGAAACTAATACAGCTGCTATAAAAATAAAAATAATGTAGCAATTATTGTATCTCCTTATCAGTAAGATTTCTGTTAAATCAAGACAAGATTCCTGGCACTTGCCTCTTCTACATGCAAAGATGGAAAAATCAAAAAAACTCTCAAATAACTTCAGTCTGTTTCATTAAATTGACAGCTACAATCTGATTACAAGTTCAGTGTTTTCCATTACATCACAGCTACAAAAGGGCACATGAAGCATTATCAGCCATTTCTTTTTCTTTTTTTTGAGAAGATCTTGCTTTGTGTGCCCGAGTGCTAGAGTGGATGCGCGTGCGTCAGCCTAGCTCACAGCAACCTCAAACTACCCTGCGGCTCAAGCAATCCTCGCCTCAGCGGCTCACCGAGTACTGGGAATCAGGCATGCACCCATCATGCCCCTGGCCTAAGTTTTCTATATATATAGTGGCATTATTTCTTTCTATTTATAGTGGAGACGGTTCGGCTCTTCGTGCTCGGGGCTGGTTTCAAACTCCTGACTTTAGTGCTATCTGCCTGCTCGCCTCCCAGGGCTGTCTAGATTACAGGGTGTGAGCCACCGTCGCCCAGCCCCATTTATTATTCTTTTGTAGGTTCACGTTTGCCTTATTTCCCTTGGTTGCTTTTTCAGTGATAATTTGTAGATCTTCTCTGAATTATGTGGTTTGTAGATAATTATGCTATTTTCTCCCAGGCCCGGGCGCGTGAGGTACAGCCTGAGAATCTAGCACTCTTGGGCCAGGCGCGAGCGGGGATAGCTCAAGGTCAGCGAAGTTCGAACCAGCCTGCGCAAGAACACTACTCAGTCTTACTATAATAGAATAAATTAATTGGGTCAACTAAAAAACTATTATATATAATTAGCCGGCATTGTGCATGGCCTTGTAGTCCCAGCTATCAGGAGGATTGAGCAGGGAATGAATCGCTTAGAGCCCAGGAGTTTGAGGTGGCTTGTGAGCTAGGCTGGATGCCACAGCACTCATCTAGCCGGAGCAACAGAGTGAGACTCTATCTCAACAAAAAAAAATTTCTTTTTTGGCTAGGCGGCGGGCTCACGCATTGTAATCCGTAGCACTCTGGAGCCGAGGCGTGGGCAGGATTGACTCAAGTCAGGGTTCAAACCCAGCCTGGCGCGAGCCCGGTCTCTACTATAAAAATAGAAAGAATCATTGGCAACTAATATAGTATATATAAAAATTAGCCGGGCGATGGTGCTCGTGCTGAGTCCCAGCAACTGTGAGCTGAGCATAGATTGCTTGGAGCCAGGAGTTTGAGGTTGCTGTGAGCTAGGCTGATGCCACGGCACTCACTCTAGCCTAGGCAAGAAAGCGAGACTCTGTCTCAAAAAAAAAAAAAAAATTTTTTTTTCTCCCAATCTGTCATTTATCCTTTTTAACTTTTTCTTTTTTTTATATAGAGATGGGGTCTCACTATATTGCCCAGGCTAGTCTCCTGGCCTCAAGTGATCCTCCCACCTCAGCCTCCCAGCGTGCTAGGATTATAGGCATAAGCCACCATGACCAGCTTTTTACTTTTTAAATGGCATTATTTGTTTTTATGTAGCCAAATATACGTCTTTTTTTTTTATGGCTTCTAAATTTCATATGTTGCTTAGGAAAGCTTTCTCCATTCCAAGATCACAATAATTTCCTATTTTTCCCCCAATATTTTTATAGTTTTTAGAGATAAGGTCTCACTCTGTCACCCAGGCTAGAGTGCACAATCACAGCTCACTGTAGCCTTGAACTCCTGGGCTCAAGCAATCCTCTTGCCTCAGCCTCCTAAGTAGCTGGGACTATAGAGCGTGCACCACCATGCCCAACTATAATAATTAAAAAAATTTTTTTTTTAGAAATGGGATCTTACTATATTGCCCAGGCTCATCTCAAACTCTTGGCCTCAAGCAATCCTCCTGCCATGGCCTCCCAGAGTGCTGAGGTTACAGGTGTAAGCCACCACATTCAGCTTATAGTTTTATTGTTTAGGGATCAGACTTCATTTTTTTCCAGATGGATGGCCAATTGATCCAGTGCACTTAATTGAATAATACATCCCTTCCAACTGATGTGAAATGACACTTTTAGTGTAAGTTCTTAGATACACATGGGTCTGTTTCTGGCTTTTTTCACATTCTGACTTCACTTGCCTTTCTTCAGCAGTGGCCTACAGAAATGCACATGCATATGAACGAGCCAGACGGTGGCCACCTGGAGAATGCATGCCTTTCCTCCCCTCATCTGCTGTCATGCAGAAATGTGGGCCCCTTGTGGCCATACCTTCCAAGTTTTCATGAGGTTCTAGACATCTAGATTTTTATATGGTATCTCCAGTTTTTAAAGTGCTGGGAATTAATATTTTTAAATTTAAAAAACATGTGGACAAAATATATCTGCAAGCTAAGACCAGCCTGTGGCACACCAGTTGGTGACCCTATTCCAGATGCTGAAATATGATAATGTAGAGTAAGGCCAGGCTGGGTCCAGGAATCCACCTCCAACTCTTTCCCACTGCCAGCATTAAGAAGCAAAAGAGGAAGAGTGACACGCAGCTCCTGGAAACCTAAGTTATTTGCAGCCACCCTCTGGGAAAGAAAGCAGTGTTGTGATTCATCTCACCTCTCACCCACATGAGTTGATGATGTGGTTCCTGGTTTGCAAGCAACCAGCAGGCAGAAGGTCAGCAAGGGGGGACAGGATAGTAACATCCTTAGTCAAGTTGGGCCTCCCAGACCCTGCGAGGCTGATTTGCAAAAGACAATGGGTTGGAAGGAGAATGGAAAGTGAGGTGCTGGCCAAGGACAGAGCAAGATCATAGTCTTCAAAATAAGCTGGAAAGTGATGTAACCTATCTAATAATAATGCAGCTTCCCTACATACTCTTCAACTTAACACTATCAGAAAAGAAATGGCAATCAAAAGAAGTCTCCAACTCTCATGTGGAGGATAGATCTGCTAGAAGCAAAAAAAGTCACATTGTGGAACATCACCGTTTACGGAGAAAGCCCCTTTACATGCATTATCTTGCTTCTCTCTCATGACAATCCTATGAGGGAGGCAAAATCAAGCTGTTAGTGCCTCTTATTGAAGAAGAAAATGGCATTAGGGGGCAATCAGAATGGGTTTTAGATGGCTCTGGGATATGCAGGAATGACATTGTATGGAGAGTAAAGGACTGCAGGCCCGTTCTCCTTCCTGGTGCCCATTTCTGCAGATCATTTATTCATTGAACATTTTTGAACACCTCTGATGGGCTAAGCACTCTCTCCTAGGCACTGGAAACATAGCGGTACACCAATCCTTCCCTTTAGCTGAATGAGTCATCCCTACTCTGAACGATGACCCAGAATGGACTTGCGCTCTCTAGTTGGAGGAATGACCCCAGGCCAACTCTTGCATTTTGTTCCAGAGACCTTGGTTGCTTCTCGAAATGCTCTGACCTGCGCCAAGAATACAATATGCGTTTACATGTTTAAGGCATAGAAAAGTGGCAGACTCATCCCCAAGCTCTGTCCATGCCTTAATTCTGACCTAATTTCAAATTATGTTTCATGCAAGTCACACAATTCCCTGCAAATGCCACTCTGAGAGCAGGGATGGCACATATGGTTTCTCCTAAAGCAGAAAACAGAGCCTAGCTAGTGAGGTGGCCAGTCTCCAGGGCATTTTGAATTAACCTCTTCTCTTTGCATTACTTTCCCTTCATCTACATCTTTTCCTCTGATGCCTCCATCCTTTGGGGTATGTGAGGGGCAGGAATATGTACTAGGTCTATGTAGGGAGTCCTGCCAGTTCTAGACTCCCGACAACCCATCAGTTCTTGTTCTGCAAACATATTCTTCCGTTGACTGTGGTGACAACTGTATCTCTTAAAAAGATATGTCCAAATTCAAACCATTGGTACCTGTGACCTTACTTGGAAAAAGGTCTTTACAGAAATAATTAAGGTAAGGATCTTGAGATGAGATCATCCTTGATTAGGGTGGGCCTAAAGCCAATGACATGAATTTGGTGTCCAGTGGTGTCCTTGTAAGATACAGAAAGGGAAAACACATACAGAGACACAGGGGGAAAGGCCATGTGAAGGCAGAGACAGGGTTTATACTACTACAAGCCAAGGAACATCAAGGATGCCGGTCACTGCTGGAGAAAGGCATGGAATGATTTTCTGTCAGAGCCTCCAGAAGGAACCAGCCATACCAACACTTTGATTTCAGACTTCTGGCCTCCAGAACTGTGAGAGAATAAATTTCTGTTGTTTTTATCCCCCAAGTTTGTGGCAATTTGTTATGACAGCCCCAAGAACAAATACACAGACCCAACCCACTCTTCCCTTTTGAGCAAGAACCACTATGTACAACTCAACCTGAGAGTGCAGCCTTCATTCCTTTCCCTTGGGGCTTCTGGAAACAGATGACTGTATAATGCTCAGTTATAAGTATCCACGCTGCGGGCACCTGTTCACCAGCAGAGGACACCAGGGGCCCCTTGTGAGGTGCTGGGCTCTGTGGCTTCAGGAGTGGGGTCCATGTCCTCATCCACATCAGATCTGTCTGCTCCCATCTCGGCCCTTTCTTCCTGCCTGATCCAAAGGCTGTGTTCTAGCTGTTCTTCAGCAACTTCTAGCTCTTCCTCTGTTTGTAAACCAGCCACAGTTTCCCGGGGCAAGTTTGAGGAATATAGCCCAAATTTGGCTTTACAACCAAACATTGCCTCATACGGACTTTGCTGCAAAGAAACATCAAAAGCCTGATTCCTCACCATCTGCATGAATCGTAGGCCTTCGGCCCAGTTCCGTGAGTAGTTACTATGCATCCAGGCACTTACCAAGTTCTTTACATCATGGGCTGCTTGTTCCAGGGAGCCGTGGCCTTGACCAGGGTGATATTTACCAGAGACAATTTTTAGGTCTGGCCATACCTCATTGAGCTCATTAACAACCTGATTTGTGAACTCTATGCCACTGTCAGATTCTAACACACTGGGTGTACCAAGAATTGTGAAAATATCCAATAAGACACTGACCACCTCATGGGTCTGTTTGGTTTTTAATGGCCGTAAGATAATAAACTTGGTCAAGTGGTCCTGGTAATAGAAAATAAACTTGAACTCGCCATCAGCATTTGACTGCATGTCAAGTATTTCAATTTGGCACCTGGAGTCCATGTCCTTAAAAGTCATGGGCTTTGGTGCAAGGCTTCTTTTGGGTACTGGATTCCTCTGGTGGCACTGTTTACAAAGAGTCAGATATAAGACGATGACTTCTTTGGTGACATTCCCGTATTTTCCTTGCAGCTCCTTGAGCATGCGTGTCCGCCCACCGTGTCCAATACTGAGATGTGTATCGTGAAGAATATCAAACAACTCTTCTTTATGTACATAATACCGTATTCGATCTCGTTCTCTGTGAGTAGCCTCGATCAGTTTCTCTGTGCCTTGTACAGAGATCACATCATATTTGGCAGCACGGCGATAATCACGTGATGACTTCTTCCCCTTTTCTTTAGCTTCCTTGACTTCCTTTATTGTTTGAAAGTACTTTTCTTTGGAAAATACCTTGCTGTTGTAACTCTTGCTTTCTACTAATTTTGTTACGCTTGTAAGAAACTTTTCTCTCATGTTACTTATCTCCATTTCCATTTCACCTGCACTGGACATACTGGGTGGATCATTTCCAACTGTCTGTGGCATCATGGAGAACTGCAAGAAGGATGCTAAGACAGGGAGAAGGAGAACAGAATAAAGTTAAATTTGCTGAAACTCCATCTGGAAGACTTTCCCTCCAAAGTTCCTCATCGATTCTTTCATATGATTTTTGAAGACCATTATATAGAATAAAGATAACAGAGTAACAGTATAAAGCAACTAGAATGCCATTCAAAATGAGAGCATGTCAAAAAAATCTGAAATCAATAAGATTATAAATATGTAGTAATTTTAGACTTTAAGCAAACCGAATAATAATACCATTAGCCTATATCATGAAACCTAATTAACTGGTCTTTGTTATTTATTTATTTATTTTTGAGACAGAGTCTCACTTTGTTGCCCAAGCTAGAGTCAGTGCCATGGCATCAGTCTAGCTCCCAGCAACCTCAAACTCCTGGGCTGAAGCAATCCTACTGCCTCAGCCTCCGGAGTAGCTGGGACTACAGGCATGCGCCACCATGCCCGGTTAATTTTTTCTATATATGTATTAGTTGGCCAATTAATTTCTTTCTATTTTTAGTAGAGATGGGGTCTTGCTCTTGCTCAGGCTGGTTTTAAACTCCTGACCTTGAGCAATTCACATGCCTTGGCCTCCCAGAGTGCTAGGATTAAAGGTGTGAGCCATCACGCCAGGCCTGGTCTTTATAACAATTGAATAGGATAGAGGATAAATGTAAATCCCTAAGGCAGTAGGCTAAAATCTTACCCTCAGTAGCTTTTAAAATAATGTAAATGGGAGAATGTTGCTGGAAAGTACACACAGTAACAGCAAACTCTTAAACTTTAATTAGCACCAGGGATTGCTAACTTCAACATACATAACATCTTTCTATGGCTAAAGAGTCTGTCCTCACTTTAAGAGAATCAAAAAGAAAGTGGTGGGGATATTTTTAAATGATGGTTTTCCCTGACAATTGTACACAAGATTAATAAATGAAGATTCTGAGTCCTTACCCCGTGGGACCATGTTTTCATAACTGTCCAGCTTTCTGTCCCTCTAGCAGTCCTTTTGAGAGGCTTCCAAATACTGCTAATCTTTGGTTGTATCTTCAAATGTTTGGCTGTCTCCTAAAACAACACTGGCAGCTGCCACAGGGACCATTCATTCTTGGGGCCTGGGCTAAGGAGCAGCTTTAGCACGACGGGGGAATAGACAGTAGAGGGCACCAAGAATGAAGACAAGCCAGCACCAGCAACTCTAAACACAAATCAGGTGAATATTATATGGAAGAAATAAGGAAAAAGTCTCATATACAACAAGATGATATGAGCTTCCTGGATGAAGGAAAGGAGTTTTGCTTTCCTGAGGGGTCTGTAGGTCTGGCTTGTTTTGACACTGCCAGAGCTAGTGCCTATGTATTTCTGGAACAAAGCAGAGAGTCCAAGTGAACTTGGGTACTTCTAAGCCAGGAGACACTTTCAAGTAAGGGATTGATGGCTCCAAACAGAGTCAGCAGGGTCTGTTTCCAGAAATGGAAGTATCATATCTATGTGCACAGATATGTCAGGAGATTACTGTGCTGAAAATAGATACCTTGAATGGAGTCCACATGCCACCAAGACTGGAGAATTCCTTAGGGAGAGAACTTGATACTCAGGTGTCTACACCAGGATTCCTTAGTTAGAATAACCCCAACACATAGGATGGTGAGAGGCCAGGGGAGGAATTCATGATGACTGTAGGAATTCCAACACGTTTAGGAAAATAAGATCCTCAAGATCCCAGACATCAGATCCAGAGTTGAGGGGCAGGGCAGAATCCTGAGAAGCAGAGAAAGATGGAAACCTTTAAAAGCTCTGAGCAAGAGTCTCAGTTAAGCTAAGCCTGCTTCCAGGTCCTGAAAGTCCTCCACTAAGAGGGCTTCAAATTCCCTTCCTGAGAACCGCTGGCTAATCATGGAATATTCCTCATTCTAGGACACTACGATTGTAAAACTAATAACTTAATGACAATTTTCTTTTGAGAGGAAAAACAGAGAAGCTACATTAAATGAAAGTATCGACAAGACACATCCAAATTCAAAAACATGAAAAATATGCATTTTAGAATTGAAGAAATTATAAGGTTGCAAAATGCTCTTTAAGTTTGGGTTCAAGATCCTTGGCCGGGCGCGGTGGCTGACGCCTGTAATCCTAGCACTCTGGGAGGCCAAGGCAGGCAGATTGCTTGAGGTCAGGAGTTCGAAACCATCTTGAGCAAGAGTGAGACCCCATCTCTACTATAAACAGAAAGAAATTAATTGGCCAACTAATAGATATAGAAAAAATTAGCTGGGCATGGTGGCGCATGCCTGTAGTCCCAGCTACTCGGGAGACTGAGGCAGTAGGATCACTTGAGCCCAGGAGATTGAGGTTGCTGTGAGCTAGGCTGATGCCACGGCACTCACTCTAGCCTGGGCAACAAAGGGAGACTCTGTCTCATAAAATAATAAAAAAAAAGATCCTTAAAAGCTCTGAGAAGTTCTGCAGTAAAAGAAACCAGTTTATGTTTATTTCATCCATTACTATTAAATCACTGACATGGGACTTTTTTCCCAAGGAATATTTATAACCAACCCATAGTCCTCGTGATCCTCAGAAGAGACTTGAAACCATAACGTATTCAATGGGATCTAGGATGAGGACGTTCCAAACTCCTTACTGAAACCAGCATCTCTCAGAAATTGAGTGGCTGTACTGCTATTTAAGGCCATTCAGGGGACTGCATAGGAAGAAAAAGCCTCACCTTCATTGCTTCCATTCTATAAAACAACTGAGACAACAGGCTAGAAATAATTTAGAACCAAAAGATGTAAAATCTCAGTTTTTAATATGAAATATTGTCCGTACTACACCATGAAATTCTAAAGCACAGCTCAATGACCACATTTGGCTAAAAGACCTATTTTTGTTGGTCCATCCAGTGATTTTTTTGAAAAAAATTTGAGTGATTTACCTATCCTTACAGATTGGGAGATTTCACACAAAAAAACTAGATTTCTGGCTTTCTTGAAAATGGAAAGATCTGGCCATATTGGGTATTGCTGCCTGGCAGCAACTCGTTGTAGTGGAGAGGCCGGCATCTTTCTTTCTTTCTTTCTTTTTTTTTTAGACAGAGTCTCGCCTGTTGACCAGGCTAGAGTGAGTGCTGTGGCGTCAGCCTAGCTCAAGCAACCTCAAACTCCTGGCTCAAGGATCTTCTGCCTCAGCCTCCCGAGTAGCTGGACTACAGGCATGTGCCACCATGCCCGGCTAATTATATATATATTAGTTGGCAATTAACTTCTTTCTATTTATAGTAGAGACGGGGTCTTGCTCTGCTCAGGCTGGTTTCAACTCCTGACTCGAGCAATCTGCCCGCCTCAGCCTCCCAGAGTGCTAGGATTACAGGCGTGAGCCACCGCGCCCGGCTTCTTTTTTGATACAAGGTCAAGTTCTGTGTAGCCGAGGCTGGAGTGCGGTGGAACAATCACAGTTCACTGTAGCCTCAAACTCCTGGGCTCAAGCAATCCTCCTGGCTCAGCATTCTGAGTAACTGGGACTACAGGTGCCTGCCACTGCTACTAGCTTTTTATTTTTTAGAGATGGGGGGGTTCTCTCTGTGTTGCCCAGGCTGCTCTCACACTCAAGCAGCCACTTGGGATTACTGGCCTGAGCCACTGTACCCAGCAGCATTTTTCTTTTCCTTTTTTTTTTTGAGACAGAGTCTCACTTTGTTGCCCAGGCTAGAGTGAGTGCCATGGCGTCAGCCTAGCTCACAGCAACCTCAAACTCCTGGGCTCAAGCAATCCTACTGCCTCAGCCTCCCGAGGAGCTAGGACTATAGGCATGCACCACCATGCCCAGCTAGTTTTTTCTATATCTATTAGTTGGCCAATTAATTCCTTTCTATTTATAGTAGAGATGGGGTCTCACTCAGGCTGGTTTCGAACTCCTGAGCTTGAGCAATCCACCTGCCTCGGCCTCCCAGAGTGCTAGGATTACAGGCGTGAGCCACTGCACCAGCCAGCAATTTTCGTTAGATGGAAACTGCACTCTCCTATTTCCCATACTCCCTACCTGACCTCCTAACGTACTCACCTCACATGCTCATCCTGGTAATTTCTGAGCTTTCAGTATCTGTTCTAAAGCAACATGAAAGAAATGTGGCCGTTAACCAACCAGCTTCCTGGTGTGATCTGTGCTTGAGCTTGGTTAGCGAAAATTGGAAGCATCTCCCAAGTCATGTTTCCTTCCTTCCTCACCCACCTGAGTCTTTCTGTTGCCGACCGGAACGTCTTCCCATTGATCTTCCAAATCACAGCCAGCTCCCATCAGCCTCCTTCCAGATGTATTCAGCACTCCAGGTGATTGCCATTTCTCCCTCCTCTAAATATCCTGTGCCACTCACTGGAGCACTTTGCATTTTTAGTTGACTGGTTCAGGTGAATACAACCTAGAAGGTAAAGATTGGGGTTCTGTCTGCTGTGTCCCTTTGGAGGGCAAATGAATACAGAGCTGAGCACAAAAGATGTTAAAAAGACATCTGTCAAATACATCACTTAGAGGTATATGGTTATCAGCGAGGCAGTGCAGCGGTATGGTTGAGCCTAGTCTTGGGAATTCAATTCTGACCATGCCACTACTATGTGACTAAGCAAAGTCTCTGGGCTTCAATTTCTGATCTATAAAATCAGGAGACCACCAGTATCCATCACAATGATCTC